GCGCTGGGCAGGCGCGCGGGGCGGCTCGGAAACGAATTCTGCGCGGGGAAGCTCAGCCCGGCGGTGGCGGCGGCGCTGGCCGTGGCGGCGATTCCACGTGTTCTCCGCGGCCGGTTGGAACCGTTGGCGGGCGCCGGCCGAGAGGTGAGGAGCGGCGGCCCAGAGGTCCGACTTAGGAGGCTGGGCTCGGAGAGTGAGGAGGGGAGGGAGCGGTGTGGCCGACGCCTGCATTTCCACCATTAGTCCCTCCGTGGGTTCACACACCGGAGAGGGAAAGCCATTCAGGGGAAATGGAAGGGGTCCTAGACTCAGGATGACCTATTTGTCCCGGTTTAAAAACGTAAAGGGTCTCGTGCCGGGAACCCTCTGCGCTGTGCAGAGCGGGACGATTGGTCACCGTTGGACTGGGCTTCAGGCTTGCTGCGTACTGGGGACAAGGCTTTGTCCTCTCTGAGACTTGGGGAGCTTGATCCCTAAGGAGGAGGCCCTAGGGCATAGTGGTTGAGAGCATGGACTTAAGGCTAGAGTAACTGCGTGGGAATTCAGGTTTGCCACTTACTGGATGCATGTGACCTGCTGCAAGTTTAACCTCTGTCAAAAGGGAATAATATAGAACCTAACTCAGAACTGTTGTGTGAGGATTACATGAGCACAAACGTGCTAACCACCTGTATAAAACAGGGCTTGGCATATAGTAGGTACTCAATAAATGTCAGAATTTTCTGCAGCTCCTTCCTACCTCTGAACAGACAGGTAGGGGAACGAGGTGGGGTGTATTTGCAAGGCTGACGTTGCTGCAGAGAGGGCCCTCTGGGGACTTGTTCACAGAGCACCCCCAGCGCCCCAGCATCTAGCATAGAGCCTGATACGTACACTTCCACAGATTTTTATTACAGCAGTGAAGAAATGCTGTTTAAAACAATGCTAGTGGTGTGTGGGGGGAGGGGTGAGATTGGCTTAACTTCTCCCAGCTCAGTTTGCTCATTGTTAAGTGGAATTAGGTGTATGTACGTCCTAAGGTTTTTGCAAAGATCAAGGGAGAGTCCTACGTGGATGTACATTAGACCCTCATCACCCCACATTTGGGGGTTTAGGCAGGATGGTGGACAGTATGTACTTGTCTGGCCTTCCCTTACACCATACCCATGGTTTCTTGGAATTCTACCCCTAGAAGGTCTAGTGGGCCTGACGCCGTGTTTCACAGATAGGAGTACTTAAAGTTCAGAAGGGACAGTGACTAGCTTTAAAGGTCAGAGTGCTCCTTGCGGACTGTGCTGAGGTTGCCAGCCAGCCCGGCCTGTCAAGTGGGTTATTTTGGTGGTGGTGGTGCTGATGGGATTTAGGTCTGTGTGTATCTATGTGAGAATGTTTTAAGATTAGTGAATGAAGATTTTGTAAAATAAAACAAACAACATGAAGATGTAGTGGGAGGAAGGTGGAAAAAAAGTCACTCCAAATCTCAGTCTCAGAACTAAACCCGAGGTCACGTTATCAGGGAACAGGGTGGCAGAGTAGCACCCCTGGGGCGGGGAGCCAGAGGAGGCTGGAGAGAATTTATGAAGATAGATGGGTGGATTGAAGGTCATCTACGAAGAAACAGGTGTAGGAGATACTGTCAGGAGATTAGGGTTTAATAGCATTGATGTGCAAATTAATAGGTGACAGGAAATTCTAGCATCGAGATGACTCTTTTCACATCTGGTACCTTAACTCTCTGCACAATGCTCTGAGATAGAGATTAGACCCATTTATTTTTATTATTATTATTTTTTTTAAAGCCTACCTGGTATTCCTAGGTAGTACTCCCATCCAAGTACTAACCAGGCCCAACCCTGCTTAGCTTTTGAGATCAGACGAGATCGGGTGTGTTTAGGCTGGCATGGCAGTAGACTAGGCCCATTTTATAGATACACAGATTCCAGTTAGGATACCTTGAGCTTGAGGTCATTTAGTTTTTAATTGGTAGATACAGGGTCCAGCTCAGATCCTCTGTCTCTGAGTCTAGCCCCAGCTGCCATCTTCATGAGACTGAGGTGCCTCAAGTTCCTCGCCAGTTCCCAGCCCTTTACTCTGCTACCCCTCAACTCAGCATTCCTTTCCAGTACCCAGCATCCTCCGCTTTGACATGGGCAGTCTTGCTCAGTGTGGGCTGGCCTTAGGATTAAGACTTAGGATCCTCATATTTTACATGCAAGTCATTTGTAGAGCCTTGGAAGTTTTTTTTTTTTTTTGGAATGAGAGTCTCAAGGTCCCAGATGCAGAGTAATGGCCAAGACATGACAAGTCAAGATGGAGAGGCAGAGCAGTTTTTTTGGAATGAGGGTCTCAAGGTCCCAGATGCAGAGTAATGGCCAAGGGCATGACAAGTCAAGATGGAGAGGCAGGGCAAGAGCTTGGGCTTGTCGCCTGGCCTGTCAGGCTGCCCCTGCCATGCGGTGTGCCTCGGTTGCCTCTCACGGAGGGCGGTGGTATGATCATACACCTGCTCTGGAGGTGTTGGTGCAGTTGTGATGGTAAATGTGAAACTGCTTCGTGGAGGGCTAACGGTCGTGCTCTGTAATTCATCTTTTTCTCGGGTTCTGGCATGTGATGAGAGCTCAGTAAACGGACCAAGAGACAAAAAGACAGCCAGGAGCTCACACAGAAGACCTGGTCTACTTTGAGGGAGGACACTGGGTGTCTATGGATCCAATAAATGTTTGCTGAACTGAATTACAGTTACTTACCTGGGGCGAGAACCCGCGTATGCTCTCAAGCAGCCCACGAACTGAACATTGCTTTCTGCTGCCCTCTCTCTTTCACATGCCCATGTCTCTAGAAGGAAGAGCACACAGAATCTCTGAGGCTGGATTGGGACCCGGCCATGGACAGAGAGAGTGGCGAGCCACAGAAGGAAAAGGGGACTCTTATTTAGGTTCAGCCCCATAAACGATGCCGTCTCTTTACACTTGGGGCTAAACGTTGACATGTATGATATCTGAGCCCAGTAAACGGTGTCCTAAAAGTTCCTGCAGCATGTTTTCAGCTTTCCTAATTTCCAAAGGAGAAATGTTATGAGTTTACCATAAACTTCATTTGAGAGTTTAATTTTTAAATTTCTTCCATATTTATTTAGTCTCGTGAAATTTGAATATGTTCAACTTTTTTTAGACAATGTCTGCTGTCTTCATTGATAGGGACTGAATTTTCACATGCTGTCTTTCTGTAAGTTCGTCGCATTTACACTTCTGAAATTGTTAAGCCTGCACTGGGACTTGGGACACCTGTCTCCTGTGCAGTGAGGATGATTTTCAGCTTGCTGTTCTTTGCAGTACCCCCACCTCCCACCTCCCACACACATGCAGGTGCTTCCTGCATAAATGACAGGTGTTTCCCCAGGGGGCTGGGTCAGGTGTGAGGCCCGATCAAGGTGACCCTGAATAAGAGAAGTAAGCTCCTTACAGGCCTTACCAATCTCATTAGGAAGCAGGCAGCCACACTCCCTATTTCGTATCAAGAGTAAAAATGCAGCGAAGGCTCCGAAAATCCTGAGGAAGGCGCTGAGAGATGGAGGCTTGACTTGCTGTGCAAGCTGCCCATTCTGCCTGTAAAAACAACAGAAAACTGACATTTCTAAATGAACATTTGCCATAAAAGACTGAACGAAAGTGGGCGGAGAGGTATTTTTCCGATAGTCGTGTGACCAGATCCTAAACCTCTGCTGAGCTGCTGTTCACCTGTGTGTGGCTAACCCCTGGACGGATGACATGTTTTGCCTGCTTATTCCCAGCATCGTTTTTGTGAACCGCACAGGCTTCTTTTGGTCCATACGTTTTGTTCCTACCTGTCTTTTCCAGGCCTTTAATTCCTGACCTTCCGTGACGGACCAAGTCTCCCAGTTGGATCCCAGAGCTTGCCGAACCCACCATCCCCTCTCCCCTCAATCAAGAAACCGGATAGACCTCAACGAGGAAGGTCAGAAAGCCCCAGGTTAACTTCGAGCGGAGTTCTCTCTGTTGACTCCGACGGTGAAAAGACTTAGACATTTTCCAGCAGGTCATTTGGCTAATCGTAGCTGCGTCTATCTTGTGTACGTGACGGCCATGGCCATCCATTTCTTGGTGATTAGTTAATGGTTTGCTCTTCTTACACCGAAGCGCCACTCCAGACTGTTTATTTGATAATGTGGTGTTGGCTCTTGTTCTGGCCTTTGTTTTCCCCTGAGAGGCAGGGTGGCCACTGTCCTTGCTGCCTGTCATTAATTTGAGCATCCATCTGCCATGTGCAGCATGCTAAGCTTGGAGCTGGCATCACATGGACGGTCTGAGTGATGCCAGCTCCCCAGAGCTTGCAACTATTTCACACATCTTCACGATAACAGATAAGATGCTCACGGTTGCTACACATCACAGCGCGAATAGTCCTGTTTGTTTGCCTCTGAATTCGGCTCGAGGCTGTGGTTGACCCCGTGCCCTCCCTTGCTAACTGACCCTGATGGCAAGCCGAGGAGGGGGACTCGGGGCCAGGGTCCTGCGTTTGCACGTAGCGTATCAGGCAAGCTGACGTCTAGCAGTGACCCGCAGCAGGCCCCCCATGAAAGGTCAGCTGGGCCTTTGTGAACCCTGGAGTCATGGCATATTTCCATCCAAGGCTGAGTGGGCAGGAGCAGCCCTGGTCCTTGCTTAGATGTGGCCGCTCCCTCGGTGACCGGGAGCGTGGCGGTGAGGACAGGCTGATTTCATGCCTGCAAACTCTCTGCGGACGGAGAGTCACTCATTCGTGTTGAAGGGTTTCTGGATGAAGTCTTGTCCTGAAGCAGAATGCATCGGTTTGCTTGATCCTTTCCTGCATTTTCATAGCGAGGAAGGAAGTGCTGGGCGAAACCGCGCTCACGGTTTTGCTGTGAAACTTATTTATAATGTAAAACAACAGTACTCTTTAAAGATTCAGTGATTAAAAATTACGTATGCATGGAAAGTTACATGACTTCTGTCACACTTTTAGATGAGTTCGTGTTTTCTTGAGCACAGTAGCCGCTCCGTGGATGTTTACGTGGTGGTTATGGGTCCGTGCGTAACGTCAGCTCAGTGCTGGGGACAGCGGGGTCTGTGAACGCCCTCCAGTAACGCAGCGCCCAGCAGCTGGGACAGCTGCACGTGGTTCCATTTTTTATCGATTCGCCAAGAAGCCCTATGAAGGAGACCCCTCACCCACTCGCTGTCCACCAAGACCGAAGGTGCATCCTCAGATTTTAACACTGAGGATACAGAGTCATACCTATAGGAATACTTTTTGTGCTTACAGAAGTTGTTTATAGGCCTTTTCTCCACTTGCTAAACCTTGCTGTCTCACCTTGTTATGCTCGTTCTCACTGTATTTGGGGACCTAAGGGTGGATGAGAGAGAGGGAGATCAGGAAAGGTAAGATATTTCACTTAATGCCCCCAAAACTCTTCATCTCTAGAGCCAGCCTGCGAAGTTTAAGTCCCGGTTCAGCTGCTGCGTGACCCTGGGCAAGGTCCTTGCTCGCTCTGTTGTCATGGTGAGCGACAGTCTTTCCCTCAGGGCTGCTCTGAGAAGTAAGTCAGTCAGTGTGCGTGAAGCTGTCAGAGGGGCAGCACGTGCTGAGCTTGTCAGCCTTTAGTGTCAATTGTAATTAACGATGTTGCCCACTTGGTGGTAGACTTGTATGTAGATTGCTAATCAACTTCGATTTTGTTTGTAGTTATCTTCATGTGAATTATGGTTGCGACGTTAGCTGTGTGGTCGTTAATTTGGAATTAAAGTTTCAGATTACAATGATTATCTGTTTTTCCTTTTGTTGTTGTTCTTTTAGGACAAGACTTAAAACCTATCTTGGATAGAGGATATTTAATCATTTAGCTAAAAATGGTATTTTTTACATGCAATGCATGTGGTGAATCAGTGAAGAAAATACAAGTGGAAAAGCACGTGGCTCTTTGCAGAGGCTGCGAATGCCTCTCCTGCATTGACTGCGGTACAGATTTCTGGTACGTTCTACATACTTCATGTCGGTCCATCGTAAAGGTCCAGCCGGTTTTAGAGGCCTTGTTTCCACAAAGCTTTAAAAAATAGAGGCAAATTTGCAGAAAACAGTTATGAAAAAATAAAAAGGGGTTTACAAGACCATTTGCTTTGTGCGGATGAGTTACAAAGAGACTAAAGGAAGGGAGCTGTGCAGCCAGAGCGTCTGCTCAGTCAGCGGCACTTGCTGTCATCTCGTCACCGTTACCAGAGTGACCACGATGCACTTGGGTGTCAGGGGTGTGTGTGCTGATCCCACTGACGGATGGACTTATAAACCAGAAAACGAATTTGCTGATGCACAGGGAGGGGCTGTCCCATAGAAGAGACCAGGGTCCTCCCCGGAAAGTCAGAGGCAACGGTGGGAGCGAGGCTCCTGCCCGGCACCCCAGTGCGGCAGGCCCTCCCGGGAGGGGCAGGGCGGTCCCGGCTGCCCGCTGCATCTTCAGGAGGCTCGTTGGTAGGTGGCTGACTTCCCTTCAGCTTCAGAGGTCCCAGTAAGAAGGCAGCTTTGGTGCATCTGCCCAGTGTCCTCTGTGGTGTTTGGCGTTTGGATATTTGCTAACAGTCCATTTTAATTTCATTCTAGAGCAGTGATATTAAAAAAAAATTTTTTTTGGAAACTGCTAAAGTTTTGTTCATACCCAATCCTAGGAGGAAGCGTAACATATAAAACAGGTGAAAATTGGGTTGTTTCTCATTAGGGGACTTTGCCTCTTACCTTGTGCCACACATTTTCCCAAGGACCCTATACAGCTTTGAAAAGATCGTGTGAGACAGAATCAAGTTTTCTTTCTTTCCAAGACTCTGAGATTAAGAACTTTTTAGTGACCTGATACCACATTTTTAAAAAATTATTTTTATGGAGGTATAATTGACATGAAACATATTAGTTTCAGATATATAGCATAACGAATATTTGTATATGTGGCAAAATGATCACCACAGTAAGACTAGTTAACATCCATCCCCATATGTAGTTACAAAAAATTTTTTTTCTTGTGATGAAGACTTTTACTATTTACTGTCTTAACCAGTTTCAAATACATAATACAGTAATAACTATAGTCTCCATGCTGTACATTTCATCCCCATGAAGTTTTAATTATATATTGAAGACAAATTTTTTTTCATTCTGTATATATTCACTTATGACTAAAAAAAAAAATGCTGCCTATCAGTTGGGTTTAAGGCATCTGTACTAACTGGGTAGAAAGTTTGGTGGTGGGTTTTATATTGAACAGTTTGGAGGAAGGAAAATGTTCCAACCAGAAAGTTCTGAGCACAGTAGGTAAAACAGGTGGGGTGCCCGTGCAGCGTGGCCTGCAGAAGGTGGGGGCGGCACGCTAACATTAGAGCCTCCAGGATGAGAATCAACCTAACGGCGGAACCTTTTATCTCTTGAAAGGGGTGACGACTATAAAAACCATGTGAAATGCATAAGTGAAGATCAGAAGTATGGTGGCAAAGGCTACGAAGGTAAAACCCACAAAGGCGATATAAAACAGCAAGCATGGGTTCAGGTAAGGCCTTTCTAATTCATTTAGTAGCTTTAGCTGACATCTTCCATCTTCTTTGGAAGCTGAAGAAACTAAAAAAATGCATCATCCATGCAGACAAGACCCAGAAACATCATGTCTTCAGATAGACTGAGACTGAGCAACTAAACCTTGAGAAGGAGTTCTTTCTCTGTGAATGGGATTAGTGTATTTTGTCTATAATCTATTTTATGTTTTGAAGATTTCTTGCACAAATATTTTAGAATTCTCACTTGCTTTTTCTTGGCTATGAAGCTTTCTAATCTGTATCTGCTTCTAGTAATAATACAGCTTTTGTAACTCAAACCATGTTAATCTGTCATGTCTGTTTGGTCATCAGAATTGGGCAAAATAAAGACATTTTAGTAAATGTGAAGAATTTTCTACCAAACTAAAATGAAAACATGCACAGTAAAAATGCCAAAGCAATGAAATCCCTAATTCCCTGAAAGGTGTAACTTCCAGAATTTGGTCACCATTTACAGAATAGATGGCAGGAGGAAGGATTCAGAAAGGAAGGCAGGAAAATGAAAAGACAGATATCATCTATGTGGAAAGTCTCTTTTCCTAGAAACCAAATAAATAACAGTTACCCCCTCTAGGATAGAGCGTAAATGTGAATTTTCTGATGTCGCCTAGCTCACTGAGTGACAGGCTCTTCGGAGGGAGAGGCTTCTGTTCAGAGGACTGACAAAGTTTGCCCAGTGCAGACTGAGAAGCTAGTGAAACCCCTTAACTAAGATATTTATTTAGGCTGGCGACCATCAAGCCACACTTGGGCACTGTATCTGTAATCCTCCCAAGACACAGGACATTCCTAGGCCCCCAGCTTGAGGAACCCATGCGCACAAGCTCCCTCTCCATTGTCCTCACGTCGTAAATGAAATCTCCAAAGCAGGGGTCAGCAAACTATGGCCGTGAGTCCACCACCTCTTTGTAAATGAAATTTCATTGGAATACAGCCCTGCCCATTTGTTTACGTGTTGTCCGTGGCTGCATTAGCACTATAAGCGTGGCACTGGGTAGTTAGGACAGAAACTGGATGGTCTGCAAAGCCTAAAATCTTTACTGTTGGGTCCTCTACAGAGAAGGGCTCACTGGTGACCATCTTTTTTTGTGTATTTTCCCCTAAGTTTAATAATTACCGTTTCTTCCCTCACCATGATTGCTATAAGCATTTTCTTTAGGTACTAATTTTCATCTCTGTCCTGTTCTTGCTATTTCAGATTTATTTATTAGATCTTGATGCATTTGTCTCAATTTATTTTCTAGTCCCTGTATGCTTTTTGTCTGATTCTTTGGATCACTTTTGGTTTGTTTATATTCTTTTCTAGTTTTCAAAAATTGTGGTAAATTATACATGACATAAAGTTGACCATTTTAACCATTTTTAAGTCTCCAATTAAGAACATTCACCATTTGTTGAAAAACTGTCCTTTCCCAATTGAATGATACTGACATCCTTGTCAAAAAGCCTTTGATCATCCTCGTGAAGGTTTATTTCAGGGCACCCTATTCCCTCGGTCCACACGTCTGTCTTTATGCCAGTTCCAGACTGTTTTGATTACTCTAGCTTTGTAGTAGACTTTGGAATCAAAGTGTGAGACCTCCACTTCGTTCTTCTGCTTCAAGGTTGTTTTGGCTACTTGGGGTCCCCGGAGAATCCATGTGAGTGAATATTAAGTTAGAGTCTTCTATTTTGCAGAAGGGATTGCATTTGAATCTGTAGGTCAGTTGGGTAGTTTTGGACATCTTAAGTCTTCCAGTCCTTGGACATTTCCATTTACTTGTGTCTTCTTTAATTTCTTTCAGCAATTATTTTGTTCTTTTAAGTAGATAAGTCTTTCATGAATTACTTGTTTAAGTTTATGCCTAAATAACTCATTCTTTTTGATGCTATTGGAATTGTTTTCAGGCTGTTAGTTGGTAGAAATACAACTTGCTTTTTCAGTGTTGCTTTCGTATTCTGCAACTCTGCTGAATTTATTGGTTCCAAAAGTTCTTTTTGTGAACTCCTCAGGGTATTCTGCATATACGACCAGACTGGCTATGAACAGAGAGTTTCACTTCTTTTTTTTTTAACTTGGATGCCTTTTATTTATTTTTCTTGCCTGATTGCTCCAGCTAGGCCTTCCAGTACCGTGTCGAATTTGTCAGCACAGACATTAATAGAAAATCTCTACTTGAAAGGTGAACCCTGTAGCCGTGGCTACATGAAACTCATGTGTCAGGTGTTCACTGCTTTTGTTTTATCTTCCTTTTTTGTAGAAAGTTAATGAATTAATAAAAAGACCCAACGTCAGCCCCAAAGTGAAGGAACTTTTAGAGCAAATTAGTGGTTTTGACAACATTCCCAGGAAAAGGGCGAAATTTCAGGTATGTATTTGATAATGACTTCTCTGGCTGCGGGGCTATGAGCCCATCAGACACTTCGTGTGTGCCTGTCAGATGGAAAAGTGTGTTTTTTCTTTTTCGTTCCTTGTAGAATTGGATGAAGAACAGTTTAAAAATTCATAACGAATCCATTCTGGAGCAGGTGTGGAATATCTTTTCTGAAGCTTCCAGCAGCGTAAGTCAGATTTAATTTTAGATTTGTGGTATGGCAAAAACGATTAGTGATAACGTAATGGGAATGTCTTGTTTTCGGAGTTCAAAACAGCCTTCTTTTCCATAGAGCCTCTTGGGCCTTCATTTGTGGAAAAGAATAAACAACGTGCCGTGGGGAAGAGTTCCTTCTTGTGCCGAGACGCCGTTGGTCACGGTACCAGCGGACGTGGCCTGTCGGCTCAGGAGTCGGGCCGCGGGAGGTGTTGGCAAGGAGCTTTGGGGGTCTGGCAGACCTGGGCTGAAGCTCTGCTCTCTGCCAAGTGTTTGACCTTGGGCGCGTTGTTTAACCTCTCAGCCTTAGCTTCCTTTTCTTTAAAAAGTGTGTCATTGTATTTAGTCATCTATTCAGTGCTTAGTGAGTGCCTGATCTGTGCCGGGCTGTGAGAGAAATATCAAATACCTCAGGTGGCGATAGTGCCGTGATGGAAAGTAGGCAGGGTGGGGGCGCAGAGTGACTAGGTGCTCTTTTAGGTCACGAAGGCCCCTCGATGTTAGAAGAGGCTGCAAAAGCTCCTGCCTCATGCCCAGCATCTACTGGGCACTGGGTGGGCGCTCTTACTCCTCCGGTGGAGGGAGAATATCTCCCGCTGGAACAATTCGGTCAACTGCCTGTCAGTCAGCATGGTCTGACGTGCAAGACCCAGGTGTGGCAGACACGTGCAGAGGGTCTCGGTCTGATACCTCGCAGCCACATGGTTGGTTAGGTGGTTCGTTTAACCTTTCCTTTTTTTTTGGCACGCTCTCCCTGTGTGGAGCTCACTCCCATCTGCAGACTTACATCAGTAGTAGTTTTTAAAACCAGTAGACATGACTGGTCTTTTATTCTGGTCACACAGTTGGGAATTGATTGGCTTCATGTAGAAAGAATAGTGCGGGCAGCAAGTTGAGATAAAGACGAAGCTTTATCTTCGTAGTGTACCTAGCATTTGTCTCAAATCTACAGCTTTGGCCTTCGAAACCACATAACCAATCATTTAATTGGTCTTTATCTGTCACCTGTTTTTTAAAGGTTATTTTCCTTATCTTAACTAAGAATCAAAGATTTGAAATGACTTAATTCAACTGAGGAGATTTAAAAAAGATTCATCCCTTTTAAAACCGTGAACATAAGAATTAAAATAGTCAGGAAACAGCTCGTGGTAAACCCCGAGCTCTGTAAACTACGCTTGTTGTGGCTTCGCCTTTGCCCTGGGAACTTCCACGCGCATCCCAGTGGCCGTGGTGCGGAGCGAAGCGTCCTTGCCCGTCGGTGCCCGCTT